GAATATCCAATGTTTTCTACAGAATGAGTATCGTTTGCCGAAGAATACGCTTCTCGTCTCGTGATTTAAGAGAACTTGTGGAAGAAGCGAGATTCTGATGAGCGTGAGTCTTATTTCCAATTTGTTCTGAAACAATTTTTGTTATTAGTCAGAACTATTTGTTTAATTTATATAAAATTATAGGGCTATTAAAAATGAAGCTAGGATTCTCAATAAATAAAAAAATTTTCACAAAATACTTCACACGTATGCTTCATTTCACTAATAATAGCATGCAGAAATATCTTTTTACCATATTAATTCTTCACAATTGCTTAAGACGATATTTCAAAGAGCTCTTAAATTATATATTAAACAAATTTCATGATAAATGCATCTAAACGATTTAATTTTTTTCATGATTAAAAAATAATCGACTCGTTTAGAGAAAGAAATTTAGATGCGCGTCATAATGCGTCATAAATTCTGATATAGAAAAAAATCGAATCTCTCATACAGAGAACATACATAATTTTAGGATAATAAAAATACACAATAATAATGGCAATAATAAAATTATTCGACGAGTTTTAAATGGAAATGGTAACTACATCGTCGGATCATTTCCGGAATACCTCTTGCCACACCCATGTAAAAACTACCATGGAGATAATTGTGATTTTCAAGTCGTCCAGTATGCCGACCATATGCCGCACAATTCTCTTCAGCGGTGTAACCTTTGCGCGTATGACCGTGCTCGTAGTGCGCATTAATTAGCGAGGGAAGTAATTACAGCCGGGCGCGAGGTTACGCAGGCACGCGGATGCCATCGTGGCTAATTACTGACCAGCGAGACGCGTGCCTGTCTTTGATTCGCATGAGAAGGCAGTTCGGTTTACCGAACATGTGATCGTTTCGACTGTAATAGTTTTCAAAAGTGAAAAATTGCAGTTTTCAAAAAAAATGAAAAGTTGCAGTTTATTTGCAGTTTTTATATTCGACAAATATATTTTTTGGAGTATAACGTCTTCTAATGTCTTATTTAATTATTATTATACATTGATACTTCTGCAATTGTCTAAAATCTTACTATAATCAATGATGTAATGAGCCTAACGATGTTCGTTCGAAAAAATTCTAATTCTAATCAAACTTCGGCCGTCTCTGAATCACTTGTTCTCGTTCGTACACTAAATTACGTTATAATAATCCTGAATGGTATTTTCTCGATGGATGGTAGTTTCCCATTACGTGTATCTTTACAATGAAAATTAATTATTTACATTGTACATCTCGTCGCGTTATAGAAAATAATTCTTCTTATTTTCCTTTTATTCAAAAAAATTGTTCTTGAATGTTTTGGAGACAAGTGTCCGGGATGCATGTGAGCCACTCTTGTTTAGAGTATCCTTGACAGTATACTTGCGTGCACAGCGCAACGTGAGGCCCCACGTCCCAGAGGCACATACACAGACAATTACTTTCCCGGCTCTCTTGTCCGGTTCCGGGGGGCAGGAAGGGGCAGGGGAGGGGGAAAGGGAGGGAGAGAGAGAGAGGTCGCGGGCGTGGTAGAGGCGAGAATCCCGATCTCGGCGAAGCCGAGAGTCGTTTTGCTCTGCGCGGCTCGTGCGCGGCCTTCTCCGAGAAACCTCAAGGACGGCGAAACGCATCGCCGGCCGCCCCGGCCCGAATGCCACACCAAGGGGAGAATCCGGCAAGGCCGACCGGCAACGTATTCTATTTCTTCTTCGCTTGGATTTTTTCGATTTTTCGCGCCTGTACGGACGAAAATAATTGCATTGGATGGACGGACGTGACGGTACACGCTGTGCGCACGTTCGCACGTCTTCTCGTATGCAAGCAAGTTTGGCGAGCAAACGGAAATTATCGTTAAATAAATAAAATTATTATTAAAAAAGCTATTGCATGGATATAAAGGAATCCGATTCCTCCGATTTTATTTGAAGGATCTATT